ATGGCATGATCCAGGCTAAGGGAGTTGCTGGATTCCTACGAAAACTGCAGGATCACGGAAAAAGCGCTCCCAACCGGCTGCAACAAATACAGTGTTCCCACTGAGGGCCAGGGAATTCTGATACCCCTATATGGATTTTATTAGGTTCAGGTTTGGGAACACTCCCTTCTGGAAGGTTTTGGGAGCTTGGAGTTCGGGGCTGAGCTGCTGCTGTGTCTGTGAGAGCATCCCTGCCCCTTTAGGGGTTGGAATGAGATTGGCTTTAAACCATTCCATGATTCTGCGATTCCATGATTCCCCTGGTGAGGAGGATCCGTGCTCCAGCCCTGGGGAGGGGATTGGTGATGCTGAGTTTGGGGCTCATCAGACCCGGGTCCGGATGTCCAGCTCTTGTCTGCAATTCCCAAGGCAGCATCAGAGCAAAAAGGAGCTGCTCTCTTCCTAAAAAACATCTGGCTACACTCACATTCCTGACCCACGGGAATGTCATCCCAGACCAGCTCTGTTCCTAAGAACTATTCAGGCCAACAATTTCCACCCGGATTTGTGCCTGAGAAACACCACAGAGGGGAACGCACAGAGGAAATAATTCCCCCGTGGAATTCCTGCAAGACACAATCCCAGCAGCACAGAAAAGCCTGGTCTCGTTAGGGCATTTTGTTCTGGGCTAATTGCTCCCTGGTATGGCTTCCTTACTCTGAGCTGCTCCTGGGCACTGCAAACTGCTCAGTTTGGGATGGATGCAGACGGAATGCTCATCCTTCCATCCCAGGCTCGGCACCAGCAACGTGCCCAAGGCACATCCTGAGTGCTGGGAAATCTGCTCCCAGGATAAGCAACTGTTGCCACCCACAAATTGCTGATTTTTAATGGACTCCAAGCACAGTTTTCCCACCTGGAGATGTGGTTTTTCCAAAGGGATCATGAGGATGCTGAGGCGGAACTGCAGATTCCTGTACACCTCCTCCAGCCCATTGGAAAAGACATTTTTGTCCCCAAAGCAACTCAAGGTGCCAGCCCAAGACAGGAATAACTTTGGACTTTTCAGTACCGCAAAGTTGGGGAGGGTGGAAAAGAGGAATGAACCAGAAACTCAAATACTGCTTTTAATGAGAGTTTTGCAGGAGCAGAGGGACGGGAGCACCCCAGGCTCGGTGCCAAGGCACGGATGGGGGCAGCACCCAGCCCAGCTGCATCCCAGGTGTCATCCCAGTGTTTTCCAATGGCAAAACAGGATGGAAATGCCCCGTTTCAGTTAGAGAGCCGAGTTATCCAGCTGCAGGGAGCTCACCTTGGAGAAATCCCAAAGCTCCCAAAACAACGCTGCAGAAAAGAGCTCCCAAGGGTGCTTTGAAGTGTTTCTGTGTGGTTCGTTTTGGGAAGCCAGGAAAAGGCTTGGATGAGGCAGGGAAGTCCCAGCTGACTCCCAGGATGGGGTCTGGCCACGCAAGGACTCTCAGCCACCCCATTGCCACCCCACTTTTATCTCAGCCTGGCCAAAACTCCGTCCCCTTCTGCCGTGCTGGGCGCAGGAGGAGCCAGCACCAGGAAGAGGAAATTTAATCATCAGATCCCGATTAAACCCAGGAAAAAACAAGGAGGGGGTGGGAAGAGCAGCAGCTCGAGTAGCCCGGACCCATCTGCTCCGATATTTCTCGCTCAGCTTCTTTTCCAAAGGATGTTCTAACGGGAGATGGCCACTGTGGTGGTGTTGGTGGCCACCATCTCTGGATGCCATCCCCGTATCCATCCCTGTCCTGTTGTGTTGATGCTCCTGGTACCCCATTTCCTAATCCTGCAGGATGCTCCCTCAGCCTAGGGGATTTTAGGGAACACAGTCCCTTTTTTCCGGCGTTGGGTGATGTGGGAAGCTCGGAAGCCGCTCTCCGAGCGTGCTTAATGCAAGAAATCAGACTTTAGTGTTTTCCTCCGTGTTTTTCCTGCCTTTCCCACCCTGGGAGAGCAACAGGGGCGGGATTTCTGCTTTACCAGGATTTCGCAGCTTCGCTTCCGTGACAAATACGGCCCCAAAAAAAAGGGAGGGGGAGGGCATAAACCCCTTTAAACAACCAAGCTGCCCACCGCGAGTGGGATCACCCTCGCCACCGGGCTGGGCGGGCTCGCCATTTTCACAAGGACGCTCCCACCCGCTTCCCCCATCCCCGCTTTCCCGTCCTTTTTTCCCCCCCACGTGTTTTACACGAGCATCCCCCGCGCTCCCGTCCCGCTCCCCCCTCGCGCTCCCGGCCACGCCCCGGCCACGCCCTGTGACGTCAGAGCGGGCGGGCGCGCGCGGCCCGTGCCGGCGGAGGCGCGCCCGGGAGCGCAGCGGGGCCGGTCCCGGTGCTGGCGGTGCGGGAGCGGGCGCAGGTGAGAGCCGGGAGCTGGGCCAGCCCGGGGGCTAGCGGGGATGGGAGCGGCTCCCCGCGGGCTCCCGGGGCCACCGGGGAAAAGTTTGCGGCGACGGAGACGGCGGGAGCAGGGCGGCGGTGGCGGCGGAGGGTCGGGGCTGAGCCAGCGGCGGAGCGCGGGGAGGCGGCCGGGGAGAGCTGATAGTGAGTGTGAATGTTTGTGTGCGTGAGTGAGACTCTGTGTGTGTCCCTTGTGTGACACTGGGCAGGCTTGTGACCGTGTGCCAAGTGCCCTCTGTGTGTGTGCGAGTGTCGCGTGTCCGTGTGTGACACTGTGGCACTGCGTGTTTGTGGCTCTGAGTGTCCTCTGTGGGTCTGTAACTCTGCGTGTGTGTGTCCTGTTTGTGCCTGACTGTGTCACGCTGTGTCGTGTGTGTGACTGTAAGTGTCGTCCGTAACTGTGTGTTTGTGTCCTGTTTGTGCCTGACTGTGTCACGCTGTGTCGTGTGCCCTCCGTGTGCCACTTTGTGCGCGTGTCCTGTGTGGCTGTGCATGTCACCTGTCCCCTGTGTGTTTGACTCTGTGTGACTGTGTCCCCCCCGTGTGTGTGGCCGCGTTTTCCCCTCGCTGTTCGCGTCCCTGCCCCGTGTCCCCGCTGCCATGGGGTGTGCCGGGGCGAGGATGTGACCGCGACACGAGTGGCTCCGTGTCCCCGTTCTTTGGAGATGCCGGGTTCTCAGTGCCCTCCGTGGGTCTGCACACGCCTTGTCCCCCAGGTCTCGCTGGCACTGCCACAGGGGCACGGGGACGATGGGCACCGGCTCCCCGGGTTGTCACCCAGCCGGTGTCACTCCCAGGACAGAGGAGCCGGGCTGGGCTGGCTCCTTTTCCTTATCGGTCACCGCTGGGACGCTCCGGCGGGGGAGCTGGGGGCTGTTCTGAGCAGCATTCCACCGGCTGTGCCTGGCATTGCTTTCCCAGCGGGATTTTTCCCAGCTGGGGCTCGCCGAGGGGTCGCTGACCTCTCTGCCCCTTGCTGGCTGCCCGGGGGGATGCTTTGGCAGCGAGGGATGCTGCGCAGCGCTTGGTTTTCCAGCTGTTGCTCCCGGGACAGTGTTGGGTGGGAGAGGTGGAGTTGTGCAGGTGTGTGATGTGCTGAAGGCTCGGGCTCCCGGGATCACCGATTTTTTGGGATCCCTGGCTGTTCAGGAGTAGCTGGATGTTTCTTAGGCTCGGCGTAACTTTGGTACAAAGAGGGACAGCGGTGACTGGGAGGTTGTTCTGTGCCCAAATTCAACCACGCTGCATCGAAGTCCCAAACCCCAGAGGAGCTGTGGGATGTGGGATCGGGTGGATGCAAATTCCTAGCGCAGCGTCCCCGCTGTGGAATGCCCATCATTGCCTTCCCCCCCTCTCCAGCCTGTTCTTCCTGGCTAGTGCTCCCTGAGATTTGCAGTGATTAAGTTTTGGCTGTTAATTAATATATACATTGCAAGTTAATAATTCAGTTATGCTGAATGGAGCAGCAGCTTGGATAGGAGTTGAAGGGGGGGTGTGTGTTGTATTGATAACTCTGTCTGGATGCTGAGGCTCTGGAATAAGGATTCATCCTTGGTTTCCTCATGCCTGACTACACCAGTGGGATGCTTAAATTCGCCTTAAAGTAAAAAAATGTCTCGATAATGAGAAGAACATCCTCCTGGGACAGCCTGTAAGTCTGACAGGGGTCAGTGGTGGGTTTGGTAGTGGGCTTAATGTTTGGGCTTGATGCTTTCAGAGAGCTTTTCCAGCCAAAATAATTCCGGGACCCTCAGAACAGTCGTGTCTCCCCCTGGCTCTTGCTCCTGCGCAGCTGTGTCAGTACCAGACCCTGCAGAGGGGACAGCATCTCTGGTGGCAGCTCTTCTCTCCTGTTCTGCTTTTTTCTTCTTTTCTTCTTTCCTCTGGAGCAGTTTGTCCTGATGAGTTGGGGCTGCCCCATCCCTGGAATGTTGGATGGGGCTTGGAGCAGCCCTGGTCTGGTGTGAGGTGTCCCTGCCCACGAGGTGAACTTTGAGGTCCCTTCCAACCCAAACCATCCGTCATGCCATGATGATTCCCTCGGCTTTCCAAGGTCTCCGTGTTCTTCCCACAGTGAGCTTTACTCCCCTGGTTGCTCACAGCAAAAGAATTCCCACTTTTCTCATGACCCCCCCCCCATCCCACAGACCCGCAGCCCCCGCTGAGTGCATCCCCTCCTGGCTGGGGAATTTTTCAGGCAGAGATGCCAGCTTTCCATGGATACATATATTTCCAAAATAACCCTGTTCAGGCCCTGTGGAAGGGAATGTGCCTTTCAAAAATAGCAGCTTCGTTACTTTTAATCAACCAGAGCTGGAGCAGCGTGGAGTGATTGCAGCCGCCGCTCGCCTCGGCGCTCGACATCCTAATTATGTTTGCCTTTTAATGAGAGGAAAACTATTTGCCAAGCTAAAATATTTATTTTAGCCTGGTGGTGTTGCTCGAGAGAGCTTGTGTGGATGGTAAGGAGGTGGTTTAGACACTGTGTGGGGCTTTGGTATTGTTTTGTTGTTCTTTTTTAATGGGAAAAACATTTAAATATGACAAGAGGCTTTTTCGTGGCCGGGGCTGTCTGTGCGAGAGCTGGCAGCTGGAGAGGCTGCGACGTGCAGGAGCATTTGCATCCTCCTCAGTCTCCTTGTTTCAAAGTGGTCTGGGAGTTGTGTCACCTCCTGGCTCTGTGGGTGGATTTCTGCTGGCAGCTGGCACAGGAGTGGCTGCAAATAACCTCACCTCGGAGCCTCTTGGCCTCGAGTTTGGCACCTGCCTTTTCTTTACTGCCCAAAATTCGTCCTAAAAGTACCTGAGCTCTGCTGGCTGCCCCGGAGGCTCCCCAGGAGATGGTGAGGAGGTAGGATGGGTTTTTATGGAATCATGGAATTTCCTGAGTTGGGAGAACCTGCAGGGATCACAGAGTCCAACCTCCAGCCCTTTGCAGACACCCCAACAATCCCACCCTGAGCATCCCTGGCAGCGCTGTCCAAGCACCCCTGGAGCTCTGGCAGCCTCGGGGCTGTGCCCATTCCCTGGGGAGCCTGGGCAGTGCCCAGCACCCTCTGGGGGAAGAACCTTTCCCTGATATCCAGCCTGACCCTGCCCTGACACAGCCCCAGCCATTCCCTGGGTGCTGTCCCTGGCCACAGAAAGCAGGAGATGGCAACACCCAGGAAGGTTTTGTAGCCAAATGTTGACTTCCCCAGTGACCAGTGATGAGTCAGCTTTGAAACAAGGGGATCAACCCACTGGGGAATGTATTTCTGCTTATTAACTGGGATATCTTAACTGGAGCCAGGCTGGGATATCTGGAGCCAGACAAGCCAGACAGGGATATCTGCTCTGGAGCCAGGCTGGGAGAGCTGGGGGTGTTCACCTGGGGAAGAGATGAGAGCCTCTTCCAGGGCTTAAAGGGGCTCCGGGAGAGCTGGAGAGGGACTGGGGACAAGGGATGGAGGGACAGGACACAGGGAATGGCTTCCCACTGCCAGAGGGCAGGGATGGATGGGATATTGGGAAGGAATTGTTCCCTGGGAGGGTGGGCAGGCCCTGGCACAGGGTGCCCAGAGAAGCTGTGGCTGCCCCTGGATCCCTGGGAGTGTCCAAGGCCAGGTTGGACACTGGGGCTTGGAGCAGCCTGGGACAGTGGAAGGTGTCCCTGCCATGGCAGGGAGTGGGATGGGATGGGCTTTTAAGGTCCCTTCCAACCCCATCCGTTCTGGGATTCTCTGGTGGCTGCAGCAAGGTGTTCATGGTGTTGTGGGTGCTGCTGGGGTTCCCTGCCCTCTGGACAATGCCCTGCCAGGATGCAGGAGGCATCTCCACTGCCAGCACCAGCTCAGGACCCATCCAAGCTGCTCCCCAAAATTTGCAGAGCAAGATTTAAAGGCACAGAAGGCATCCCCCATTGCTTCCCTGGGCTCCTTCCTGGCCAGCAATCCCTGCATTAACCCTGCCCAGGGCTTGGGCACAGGGCTGGCATTGTCTGGGGACCTCGGCAGCGCAGTGCCAGCCTTGGCTGGGGCAGAGAGCACGTGGCTCTGCCGGTGCTGGCACAGGGAAAATCCCGCTGGCAGGACTTGGGAGCAGAGGCAGGAGGGGCTGGAGAAACCCTGGGCTGCTGCTGTTGGAGGTGGTGGGGCTGAGTCCTGTCCCCGAAGGAGCTGAGGGGTTGGTGTCACCAACCTGTGGGGACACCAGGGCAGCTTTGCTGGTAATGGTGAGGCCGCAGGGTTTTATTGCATTCAGAAGCATTTGCAACCCCAGCTGGCTTGGTGGCCATAAATAATGTTTGGGGTTTTAGGAAGGGGAAAAGGAGAAAGCTCCTGCAGGACCTGCAGTTTTGGCACATGCATGTCCTGACAAGTCCCTTTGCTTCCCAAACAAGGCTCAGGGACTTGCTCCCAGGAGCTCAGATCTGGGTTTTAGTGCTCAAGTGATGCCCCAGTTCCATTAACACCACAACCATCCACACTGAAGGATAATTTGTGAGGGTGCCTGTGGCATCTCCCCCTTCTCGTGCTCCTCCTTGCAGCCTGGGGTCCTTAATTTTCCCTGGTAGTCCTTGAAGTGGTTTCCATGTATTTGTGTTTCTGTGGGCTCCTAAAGGAAAGTGTGGGAGTATGGATATGGATGTGTAGGGATGGCTCACAGCAGCAGGGAATGCAGGAGCACATGGAATCCCTCTGCTGCCTCGGGGGGGCTGCGGGTCTAGGTGTTTCCCAGGGTAAAGTCAGTTTTTCATGGATCAAAGAGCAGACCATAAAGTTTCCAACTCTTTCATTGTGCCCCTGGATTCGCTTTTTGTCCCTCTGCTGGTTTGGGTGGGTCGCATGTTTTTGGGAAGAATCACTCGGTGTCCACAAGCAGCATTTCCTGGCTTTAATCCCATTTTTTTTTTTTTTTTTTGTGGCCAAGCTGCTGCCCTTCCACTGGGAACCCCATGAGTGGTGCCCCCCTAGTCCTAAGGGACGTTTCTATTTTTAACCTGCAGATTCCATGTGGGTTTGTGCCAGGGGTTATTTTGGGTGCTGGGAGGCAGCCATTCCCATTCCCAGCTGGCATATCAACGGGACAGTCATGCTCTCATTCCCCAGCTCCTGGGGCTAAAGAAGTGTTCCTGCTTTTGCCTACCTGAGTGGGTGTTCCTGCTCCGCCCAGGAGAGAGGTTGTGTCAAATCCAGCTGTGGGAGGATGGCACATCCCATCTCCTCTTTGTGGGATCATCACGGAATCCCGGATTGGTTTGGGCTGGAAGGGACCTTAAAGCTCTTCCCATTCCACTCCCATTGGGCAGGGACACCTTCCACTGTCCCGGGCTGCTCCAAGCCCCAATGTCCAGCCTGGCCTTGGACACTTCCAGGGGCACCCTATGCCAGTGCTTCCCCACCCTCAGAGGGAAGAATTCCTGCCTAATACCCAATTTCTTTCCATTTGGGAGGAGAATTTTGTAGCCTCGAGCCTCTGTATATGAAAATACAAGGAAGGTGCCTCAGCCACTTGTTTTGTAATCTCTCTGATGTTTCTTCCAACTGAAATGACTTCAAAATGAAGGAGAGTAGGTTTAGGTGGGATATTGGGAAGGAATTGTTCCCTGTGAGGGTGGGCAGGCCCTGGCACAGGGTGCCCAGAGAGGCTGTGGGTGCCCCTGGATCCCTGGGAGTGTCCAAGGCCAGGTTGGACAGGGCTTGGAGCAGCCTGGGACAGTGGAAAGTGTCCCTGGAATGGCAGGGGATGGAATGGGATGAGCTTTAAGGTGTTTCCAGCCCAGACCATTCTGGGATTGGGTGATTTTTTTCATCATCTGGCTGCTTTTTTGTAGATTGGAGAGATGGTGGTGCACATCTGGTTTGCAGTCCTGTTAAATGATGGGGAAAGCTTTAGTAATAGTAATAATGATAGTAATAATAGTGATGATGATGTGAAAGCCTTTCCTTTTCACTGTTCTCTGGAGTTGCTTCCTCTCCTACCCCACGGGAGGGTCACCCTGGGGACCATCCCGTCCTTTCCGAGAGGAGAAATCACTGCCACAGAGCTAAACCAGCTGTTTTCTAGGTGACTCCAGCAAATTTTGACCCAGCAAAGCCTCCTGGCTGCGGTGTGGGATCGTGAGGCTGCCTTGCTCATCCCGTGCTTCCCTCTCCTCTCTCCGGGGGTGAATCCAGCTGCCGCCCTTCTCCTGCTGTGCCTGGTAAAGTGCTTTAGGTCATCCCTCTGAAGTGTTCCAGGTCGTTTTTGGGGGGGCAGGGTCGGCGTGGTGTGTGGCCTTGTTTGAACAACGCCGGCTGTTTCCTTAGGAACAGGGGAAAAAAAGCTTTTTTGGAATGGAACAATGGTGCGGGCGCCGCCTGGGTCAGTGCAGAGGAGCGGGGCAGGAGGTGTTTTATGGGCACTGCTGCTGGAAGCACTGATCCTAAAGCTCTTTTCCAGCATAAGTTACGAATCTGGGATAAGCCCAAGAGTGGGTTTGCTTGGACTTCTTAGTGTGTCCGGGGCTGGGTGCAGCATCCATCGTTTTGCTTGGCGTGGTGGGGGAGTTATCCAGCTAAAAACACCTTCACAGGTAAAGTGTGGAGAAAGGGAGAGGAAAAAAAAAAAAAAAAAAGGCAGGAATTGGAGTAACAGATGCCATGGTCACACAGGGAGTTCAGCCCGAAGTCTCACAAGTCTCACACACCTCTGGGACTGAGAACATTTCAGTCCTGGTCGTGTGGTTGTGGGAGATGTTAAATCCCTAATTCCTGCCTCATTCCCTGCTGCTGCTCCATCCTCTTGGCTCACATCCGTTCCCAGAGCGGCTGGGGAGGGCTGCTGGGTCCCTCGGTGCAGAGACTGCCACGGCTAAAATTAAACAAAGAGAAACTTCCCATTTTTTTTTTGTGAGTGCTCCAGCTTCCGGAAAATGGCAGCGCGCTGGAGGCAGGCAAACAAAACAAGGCGTCCCCGGCCAGAAAAAAAAAAAACCTCCTCACCTCAGAGGCATTTCCTTGCTTTCATTCCCCCCTCTCCAGCCTCTCTCCCTCCGCATCCTGGCTGCTCCATTGAAAACCTGCCATCAGATTAGTGCTCCCGGGGTGGGGTTGCTCTGGGAAGCAGAGCAGCCTGCATGGAAAGCCAGCCTTGGGAATCACTCTGTTCTCTCCCCCAAATCCCCTCCTTATTGCTTATTTTGCCAAAAATATCCTTAGTGGGGGTTTTTTGGGTGCGTGTGGCTGCACATTTGGGGCAGGTTGGGCTGTTGGGATCCTTAAGGAAGTGCAGGGTATACTTCCCAATGATTCTGGGAGCAACTGGTCCTTGCAATGGATAAGGTTTGAGGGTAGGGAAAAAAAGGAGGAGATGCTTGAGTGCATTCTGAAAAAAAGAAAAAAAAGAGATCCCTGAGTTCATCCCACAAAAGCAGGAGCTGTGTGAGTATATCTTGCAAAAAAAAAGAAGGAGGAGGAGGTAGGGGTGCATCCCAGAAAAAGGAGGAGATGGGGAATGCATCCCGCAAAAAAGGAGGAGGAGATGCCTGAGTGCATCCCAGGAAATAAAAAAAGCAGAGGAGCAGATGCGTGGGTAGATCCTGGATAAAAAGAGCTGTGCAAGTGCACCCCACAGAAGGAGAAGGGTTTGCGTGGGTGCCTCCTGGAAAAAAGAGCATCTGTGCTAGTGTATCCCTCAAAAAAAAAGGATGAGGAGATGTGAGTAAATGCCACAAAAAAAGGAGAAGCAGGTGGGGGTGCATCCCAGGAAACAAAAGCAGGGATGCCCAAATGCATCCCACAGAAAGAGAGGAGGAGAAGGGAGGGCTGCATCCCACAGCTCGTCTTCCCTTGCTCTGGCTCCTCTTCCTTGGAGCAGCTTCCCCAGGAGTGGTACCTCTGTAGGGATGCATCTCTCATTGCTCAGATGGGATAAGTGAGTTTTTGGGGAAAGGGGAGGGAAACCTGGCATCTCCAGCACCGGGATGGGTTATTTTGGGGGTGTTTTGTGTCTTTTTCTTTAATACCAGCTTCCCAGAAAGCGTTTCCTTTCCAGCAGCTGAGCTTATCAGGGAGTGACACCACGAAGCAAGGCTTTCCTTGGGTCTTTGGAAGTGTTTTCCTTGGTTTTCTCAGAATGGGCCGTGGACAAAGGACTTGCTGTCCCTGAGAGGTGGCAATTACCTCACCAGCAAAACAGAGCCCCTGTGCTGCCAGTGCTGGCCTTGGCCACCTCATCATTCCAAGGATTACCTGGGAAGGATGCTCTGGGATGGGAACATCACTGTGGTGGCTCTCCTCCCCTGCCTGGCTCTTCCTATCCTGCTCAGCCTGGGAAATAGGTGAAATTAGGGAGGATTTGGGTTTTTTTTTTTTCACTGAGAGCTGTTGGAGTCAGCAAACGCTGCAGACAAACAGCTCCGTGCCGTCGGTGCTTCCAAGTCATTTTTCCATCTCTCCCTCCTGATGCTCCCGAGCTGTAGCCCCTGCTCCCCAGGGAGAGCTGCCTGAAAGTTAATCGCTGCTGAAAAATGCTTTAATTAACTCAATTAGCCAGATGGTCCATCTGGGCTCCTGCAGAGCCTGATGAGATCCCTCGAATGAGGTCACAGCTCCATCCCGGTGATGGAGAGGACAGAGGGACTCATCCAAATCCCCACGGGATGTGCTGTGCTCTCCAGAGCATCCCTGCTCCTGGACCTGCACTGGGAGGTGTTTGACAAGGGGGAATTACTTTAAATTCCCAGGTGCAGAGGGCAGGGATGGATGGGATCTTGGGGAGGAATTGTTCCCTGGCAGGGTGGGCAGGCCCTGGCACAGGGTGCCCAGAGAAGCTGTGGCTGCCCCTGGATCCCTGGAAGTGCCCAAGGCCAGGCTGAACACTGGGGCTTGGAGAAACCTGGGATAGTGGAAGGTGTCCCTGCCCATGGGAATGAGATGGGCTTTAAGGTGTTTCCAGCCCAGAGCATTCCCAGATTGTGCACCTTGCCCTGCCGTCCCTGAGGCTCCTCTGCAGCCCCTGCTTTGCAGGAGCTCCTAAAACATCCAGGACATGGGAAGAGTGAGCAGTAAAAGCCCTGCACACTGTTGGAGCAGAGGAATGCAGGGCCCTGGAGCAGGGATTTGGGAAGGGTGAGTGTTTAACCCCTTGTGGGCATTGCGACTGTTCCATCCCAGCTTTAGCTGCATGTGTTGGGCTCTGTTTTAAAGCCTGGCCTTACAGACATTGGGAGGGAAGCTGCTTCTTCTGGCTGTGATGGAAACCTGAACGCAGGCAAGTGGAGATGCATCCTTCAGGCAAAAGGGGGAAATGTGTGTCCTGAAGGGTTTGGATATCACTGGAAAATGGTTCAGGGAAACTGAGGCACGGGGCATCAGTGTTTCCCTGTGGGAAGGTTAAACCATGGTCTCTACAGTCCAAAAATGGTCTCAAAAATCTCTTCAAAAGGGCTTTTGGTGCAGGTGGGAAAATCAATCAGTGTGGGAATATTTGCTGTTGGGCCTAATTTTTAGGAGATTGTGATCACAGAGTGGTGATGCTGCATCAGATGCTCCCCTGGCTTGGAGAGGGAAGGGGAGGTGTTTTCCTTTGGGAAAGGGCTGGTAATTCCTGCTTTAAGGCAACTGAGCTCGTGAAAGTGGGACAGAGGGTAATTCCCAGTGGGAATGCTGGCAAGGGAGGTGATGCTGCTGGGAGCTACCAGGATGCAGAGCATTTTCCTCTGGGATGAGCATCCACTGCCCAGTGCTCCTGCCTGGAGAGGTCCCAGCTCGTGCTCAGCTCCAAAGCAGTGCAGAGTCCAAGCATCTCCCTGATATTTTTCTTCTTCCCTGGATGGGAATCGTTTGGAAGCAGAGCCTGTCCATGGAAATCCCACACTCTGTAGTGCTGCAGTCACTTCTGCCTCACTTTTGCCTTTCACCAGAAAATCCTCACCCCCCTTCCTGCACAAAAAAATGTGAGTAATGCTGGAGAAATTTGGGATGAGGCCCAGCAAACGATCGGATATCCGGCTAAGCAGGGCTCTGACTTCTGCACTGAAAGCTCCCAAATGAATAATGCAGCAGGAGGAATGGCAGATTTCGAAGGATTATATTTTTCTGGTGGTGCTCTGTTTTATCTCTCTTTAAATCTTCACTCTGCAAAACTTGGGAATGGCTTTTTTTTTTTTTTCATTGCCTCAATATATTTTTTTAATGCTCAAGTAATAACACATTTCTCGTCGTCCTGTTAAAAGCAGAGCTGATGGTATTTAAAAATAATACTGGTGCCAGTTGTCTTGTGATGCACATCATGTGTTCTGGCTGTAAATGTTGTTTACTGGGATCATGCATAGCAGAAAAAAAAGCTGGATTCACTGCAAAAGTGGGTTGTTGGGAGGCTAAAATGCCAGTGGATGTTGCCCTAAGGAATAATGTGTGGTGGTGACTGTCTGCCTTTTGGTTTTCTTTCCTCCTTCTGGACCCTGCAGAAAAAGTTCCCTTTTTTTTTTCCTGTTGATCAAGTACTTAAGTCATTCTTCTAAATATAAATCTCTCCTGATGCGTCAGCTGTGCCTGGGATTTCACTTCTTTTATGTGGCACTTCAAGCAAGTCTTAATTAAAAAAAAAAAAAAAAAAAAGGTCCATCTGCATTGGTTTGATATTTAGTGAGTTTTTTTTCCTCATCAGGAGCGTGTCTAATTCCAGCCTGACCCTTCAAAGTCCTGCAGACTGCATGTGGCCATCAGCTGGTTGTGCTGGAGAGCATCCTCAGCTCCTGAAAAGTTCTTGCTGTGTCCTGCTTGGAATCAGGGCATGGTTTGGGTTGGAAGGGACCTTAAAGCTCATCTCATTGCAGGGCAGGGACACCTTCCACTGTCCCAGGCTGCTCCAAGCCCCAGTGCCCAACCTGGACTTGGGCACTTCCAGGGATCCAGGGGCAGCCACAGCTTCTCTGGGCACCCTGTGCTATGGCATCCCCACCTTCACAGGGAACAATTCCTTCCCAGTATCCCATCTCTGTCAGTTTAAAGCCATTCCCCCTTGTCCTATCCCTCCAAGCCCTTGTAAAACATCTCCCATTTCCTGGGAATCCAGGTCTTTTCCTCAGGGCTGCTTTCAGTCAGTGCTGCTTCTGCTGTCCCATCACTGTCACCACCATCAGCTCGATCCCAACAGGGGGGAAAAAACAACCAAAAATCCCTGGGCTGTTGTTGCTGCTGTGGAAGGTGCTGAGGACAG